AACACATATATTCGTTTCGCCTCAGACTCTGCCCTCTGCACGGCTTTCATGGTTTGGTATTTTTCTGTCTCGCGCTCCATCCCTGATGCGTCGGTCCGCACAAACTCTTTCGTCTCGTGRGGTCTTAGGATATTCTTATCAACGAGCTCTTGCCACAACTTGCCGTGCTCTGGCTCCAGGCGCTCAATGTCGCTGGTATACTTGTCGAGCCACCAGTATTCGTAGTTGAGGTACTCGATCCATGTCGTGAGCTTGTCCTGTTTCTTGGGGTCTTCATCGAGCTCGAATGATAGCGTGAAGTCGTGGCGCGCAAGCCGGCGCTTCACCGCTTCGGTATAGTCGCGGAACCCCCTACAGCCGCGTTCTCTGCAATGGTGTCGCTGCCTTTCACGCTCCCATTGTATATCTTCCCATTGCGATTTCAGACATGACGTATCCGCTTCGATCTCGGCTAAAAGCTTCGCGCAAAAATCGGGCAAGTAGTCCCGCTGGATTATGTATTTCCGCCGCTCGACGTACGCCGAAAAACCGCCATCATCATCTTCACGGCCTCGATTATCGTTTTGCCAATTACGGAAATCCCGCCACCTCTGCAACTGTTTCTGGAAGATGCCTGAAGGGGACACTGGGGCAAGATGCTCCTGCCAGGGCCGTAATATCTCAGCGTAGCTGTCTGGATCCCTATATACCTCCTGGATAAGGCTGATGGAATATAAAGGGCGGCCGCCGTCACTGATAAGCTCGTGGTAAGCCTCGGTTTCGCGTCTCGTCCGGTCGAACGGTGGTGTGCAGGACCTCGGTCGATCGATAGTTTGGGTTTCAGGTCGTAGTAAGAAACTTTGGTCGGGTGATACTTGGCGTAGGCGTGCATCGAGGTCTTCGAGATCAAGTGAGCGAGAGCATGTCGTGAGATTCTGCGCTAGACTTCGCTTTTGGGCTCTATATCGTTGTCAATAGAAGCTGCTAGGTTTACGCGCTGATCAGGTTGAAAAAAACCTACTCTAGTCTCTCAGCAAGACGGCTTCGCTCACCCTTAGACAGCTTGTCCCACCCATCAACAGGGAGATCGTAATCGCCGCCGGGGAGGCGATGTTTCTGCATGAACTGGGCGAGCTCAGCATCGTTCATGACGGCGACCTCGTCCACGGATACTATCGCGGCTGTCGATTCCGCAGAAGTCATATTGTCATCGATCACGGGATGAAATATGAGGTTGTTGAATTGAAAGGTGTTTAAATGAAAATGAGAATGAGGAGTACATGCAGTTTGTTGACACGAGGCATCACTAGATTGAAACCTCAGGCAGCCGAAGAGAAGTAACTTAAAGTGGGGCAGAGACTGTGCGCACAATCACGTAGAGTGTTCCAGCCGCTGGGGTTTGATAAAAAGTGCGGGGTAGGGGCTTCATTGGATATCAGCGTCTCAGTTCATTATTGCTGCAGCGAGTATCGTCCGTACCACGCCCGTTTGTTCTTATAAGCCAATGCGCCTCCTCGCTATCGAGATGCCGTTTTTCTTCACCTCATCTCCCTCTACTTAAGCCTTTCACAATGGAACACGACATCATTGCCTATTTGTATCCCCATGATGATCATGACAGGAGTGTGACAAAAGCGATCGAGGTGAATCCTCGTTGTACACCTCCCCGGCTAGCGCGGTCTTCCCGCCCTCGGCGCAGTCGTCGCGAGCGAGAGTCGACGGAGCCACCGGAGAACCCAGGTGCTTCGGCGCTTGACTACCTGCCATGCCTTGTAGTCAAACTCAGCGACGTTCCACGAACAGACAAAGGCCTGGTATTTGGTTCGAATCCAAACTGCGACGTCGTTCTGCGCGCCAAAGGTGTCTCCAATATTCATTTTAGCTTGGCGTTTGACGGATCCAATCGCCCGCTAATTAAAGACCTGCGTTCCTCTATGGGAACCCAAGTCACCTACGATGGTG